GTGGTGATTAACAGAGAGCAGTTTTGTTTTTGAAGCTTTAAAGTTGACCAGCCACTTCCTGCCCCAGTTCACAACCGATTGGAGGTCCTTTTCGAGACACACAGCCAGGTTAGTTTTGTCAGTGACACTAGATTTGTTTTTGAGGCAGGAATAAATTGTGGTGTCATCCGCGTAGATGCCAACTTGGGAATTTATGGCGTCAGGGAGGTCGTTTATGTAGATAAGGAATAGAGTGGGGCCTAGGATGGAGCCTTGAGGAACACCTGCGTTCGTGGGATAGGAACTAGAGGAGAATCCGTTGAGAACGACCTTCAATTCACGGTTTGACAGGAATGATTGTATTATGTCAAACAATCGACCCGTAATGTCATAACCCTGGAGCTTGCGAAGAAGGACAGCATGCCAAACCCTATCAAATGCTTTGGAGATGTCTAGGGCCACGGCACGAGCTTCTTGTTGAATAAAGGAGGTATAGAGGGTTTGCAATTGTTCAATATGCTTTTGCAGAGATACCAGTAATCTTTGGAACCAAATTTGCGAGATGCAATACGCTCCTTCATCCGAGCCGCAAATAGTGACTTAGCATCGTTGAGGACACGCTTACACTCGTTACGGGCGGAGGCAAAGAGACGTCTATTGCAGTCAGACATGTCGCTACGGAATAGGTGAAAGTAGTAGTTCCTATGGGCGATGGCGGCTGAGCAAGCAGCGGAGAACCAGTGGGGACGCGACTTGACCCTGTATTTCCTTGATGGGATGAAAGCATCGATTCCAACTTTAACCCAGGATGAGACCTCAGAAGCACATTCTTGGACGGGGGGCGTAAAGACTCCATCCCAGGGGACATCGCGGAGGAAATCACGGAACGCGTCCCAGTCAGCTCGTTGATAATAGAACTAAGTTCTAGCGGTATGAGGTTCTTTATAGGGGTGGAGTTGAAGGAGATGTTAACAGATACTTCCGCATGATCAGAGTTACCAAGAGGGCAGAGTTGCGAGGCGCTGCAAGACTCGGGGATGGAGGTAAAACACAGATCGAGAAGAGAGGCTTTATCTTCCCGGTTGAAGGTAAAACGAGTGGGAAAGTTAACTACCTGCGTGAGGGATTGAAAGACTGAAAAATTGAGCGTTTGAATGCCTGCGTGGTCAGTAGTAGCATTCTTAAGCCACATGGTATGATGGGCGTTAAAGTCGCCAAACATAAATATGTGAGCAAACGGGTAGAGGGAGAGAGCCTTGTCTATGCTGTCAGAAATGCTATCGAGTATCTCACAGTCTTGAGAGGATGGAGAGCGGTAAAGGAAGAAGAGATAGCTTACCGCATTGAGGAGAGAGAGTCGGAGACACATGTATGACTGGTCTGGCGATTCGAGAGAGAACTCTCTGGCCAGAGGGAGATGTTACTTGACGTAGACACCAAGACCGTGCATGTGAGTTAGAGAGTCTTTTCTGAGGAGAGGAAGATAGCCTGGGATCGGGAGATCAGAGGAGGGGATAGACGAGTCAAGGTTGGTCTCACAGAGAGCCAGTATATTTAGGCAGTTTGCAGTGAGGAAAGATTCCAGACTGCAAAAGTTTGTCCTAATGCCACGGATGTTGGAGAACGAAATGTTGAGGGGTTTAGGTGGTTTTTGAGAGGCTGGTTTAGGGTTAATCTTTCGGGTTTTGTAACTCATGTTGTATTTTGTTTGTAAGATGAGAAGGCCCGAAGTAGAAGAAGCAGACAGTTTCGACCGTGACGTGGGCAGAGAGCAGTTGGCACAACCTGCATCATAATGTGGCCTCAGGGTTGCCCACCGGAGGTGACTGCAGGGACACCTTTCCATGCGCGACATGGCACTACAAACATCCCGGTATTATACAACTGTTGATCAGAGCGGCCGCTCAAGACGCTACGCAAGAGTTAGGGCTCCTAACTACCAGTCGGAAACAGCAACCAGAAAACTGTCAACCGTGTGCCCTCAGAATGAAGAGGTGATGCCGCAGACTGCACACATCACGGGAGAAACAGAGCTGCACTAATACAGAGGCCAGAGAGAGAAAGAGTGCCGGGAACCCCTTCCTAGGAGTAAGCCTCTACTCATGTCCAAGAGAAGGGGGAGGAGTGTTGACCGGGCGGTAGGAAAGACTACCTACTCCTATTACATATAACACATACAAGGACGACAAAAACAGAGCGAAATATAAGTGGTGGTGGTGGGGGGTTTAAGTTTTAACTTAGTATAAGTCCCATTGTCAATTCTAAAAAGAGATTGAAGAAAATAAGATTTTTCCGGATTTATTGTATCTAGCCAAAGACATTCAATTTTCCATTTTTTTCTGATTTTTCTTTCGAACCGGGATTTCTAACTAAACCATCAAATAATTTAGAATGATTGGGACAAAATATGTTACTATGGTCGAACACACTGACGAGTCCGTGGGGAGAAAAAATAAAAAAAATAAAAATAAAAATTTAAAGAAAAAAAAGAATTAAAAAATTAGAAAAATGAAAATGAGTTTTCGGTAGAGCGAAATTATACTCACACAGGGCAGCAAGTGTTTGTCCGCTTTCTTCCTCATGATGAGAACATGTTTCACTTTTATTAATGCTTCATCAGAGAATAAGATATGCAGAAAAAGGTGAAAGAAATGATGGTATTTTACTTTTGTGATATTTGATTTTCATTGGTAAATCATGTTTCACGGACATTCGACTTTTTAAACAATGTTAGTATAATTTGTTGCGTTTCGAATTCAAGAAGAGACGACGCGTCGCTTCGAAGTTTCAAGAAGGTAACGGATTCCAAGCCTACCTGAAAAAAATCGTTAATATTTTTGTATGTATAAGGGTGCACAAAAATTCTAGTTTATAGATAGATAGATAGATAGATAGACATGAAAAGAACGTGATAGATAGATAGATAGATAGATAGATAGATAGATAATGGACAGACAGAGAGATAGATAATGGACAGACAGATAGAGAAAGGCCATAAAACCAAATAGATAGATAGGTAGATAGATAATGGATAGACAGAGAGATAGATAGATAATGGACAGACAGATAGATAGAGAAAGGCCACAAAACCAAATAGATAGATAGATAGATAGATAGATAGATAGATAGATAGATAGATTGAGATCAAATATGTGTCGGAATCTGACAGAATGACATGATAAAGTATAAAAAGAAAGACGTTTATCAATCTAACATGTTTCACTTTTATTAAAGCTTCATCAGAGAATGGGATAGACAGAAAAAGGGGAAAAAAATGATGGTATTTTACTTTTGATGCAGACCGGATTTTTCCCTCGGATCTGTTTCGCTTCCCATTTTGTAAATAACATTTTTTTATTGCTTGTGATCGCTCTTATTGGAAATGGTGTTTTTTGTTGCGTCTGGACAGAAGGAAATTCTGTCAATTATATTTTTCCCAGTTAAGTCGAGGGGCACCTAAACATTGATGTCAGCCTATTTTAGAATCCCACAATTCATTCCTACATATTCCACTGTCGTAAAACAGCTTACCATCTTGTGCTGAAATGCCTCAATATATTTCGGATCATTGAAGCCTTTAGGCCGATTATCTCTCTATATAAAACAGGGGATCTCTGTGTGTCTGTCTGTCTGTCTTTGTGATACCTTTTCACTCGAGACCCTTCATGCCGATTTTGACCAAACTTTGCATATGCCTTATACCGTGTAAGAGATAGATTCTTAGCGTAAAAACTCGGTAATTTAAAAAATAAATAAATAATCGATAGAGCCGATCAAAATTTGTTAAATTCGACTTTTTTCGTTGAAACTCGGTATGTAGGTTACTTACATCATGAAAAGCTCAACGATACCTCATTTTTATTTCTACGCCACCGCGTTTAGCTAAAAGCTGCGAAAAACGAAAAATCGATTTCAACACAAATTTTAAACTTTAAACTCCCTCCATTTTCAAGCAATTTAATGCAAACTTCACTCACTTGTAGCCAACAATAAATTGATTGTTTAACAGTCATTTAACTTGATAATTGAGTCCACCCATATAGTGAAAACCCGCGTAAATAGCGAAAAATGGCTATTTTTACAAGTTTATTTCTTATTTTTCGTTGATCTTTCAACCAATTTTCATCAAACTTAACAGCTTAACATTATAAATCACTATTTACATTATTCGGACTATTGTCCTCATCTTGGTCGCCATATTTATTACAACGTTTCGGCCTTTCAGTATCTGTCTATATTTCTGAGATGAGGTATTATGTACACTATTTACATTATTCGTACTATTGTCCTCATCTTTGTCGCCATATTTATTACAACGTTTCGGCCGTTGTACGCCCCGGCCTTCTTCAGGTAGTTGGAATGTCGAACTGAACCCTTTATTTCGCTCACTGGGGTAGACTGTTCTAGTTCCACGTGCCATGTTTAATGGATGTCAGTTATCAGTTATCTCCTGTTAATTCACCTCTGAAAGTTCTCCACTGCCTTGTAATAAATATGGCGACAAAGACGAGGATAATAGTCCGAATAATGTAAATAATGTACATAATACTTCATCTCAGAAATATAGACAGATACTACTTTATAAATGTATCCTGTAGCACATCCCTGGTAGCACACTGACAAATTGAATTTCAAAAACTCCAAAATAACTGTTGTCTGAATTGGGTCTTCATTTGCCTGTTTTACCCCTTCATATTCTTGGCTAACTTCGATTGAATAAATACAGACCAATTCTGTTATATCACTAACTGCCCTAATTCAAAATGTTTTTTTTTTAATTAAAGTAATTACTTTAAAGTAATGGAAGAAGATAGACTCTGTTATATCTAAACTTGATGCTGTTTTTGCTCCATTCTAATTGAACGCTCTTTCTGAGCTGGGTATAACTGCTAGTTAAAGAAAAAATAAAAAAAATATGAAAAACGGATCAATGATCGTTGTTTTTTCTCTGTGCAAACTGACAGAGGAAAAAATTATTTTTAACTTCAAGCAGCGCAAAATTATGCGCTAACCAAAGGCGAATGTTCACAGTAACGAAGATAGACTCACCCAAATCCTGCTCTCAGTGGGTTGGCAAGCGTAGATTTGGCATTTTCGGAATATTTCTCAAGTCGTTTTTTTTTTATTATTTCGTCAGAAAATAGACAGTTTCAGGATTTTAGAAATGGTCTTTGTCATAAGTTAAGTATAATTCACGTTATGATCATTTAAAGTCAATCAAAGCTCACACATGTTTAATAATTTATTTTTAGAATGCAAAGTTCTGGATATTTGCTTTTAGTATTTTTTTCTATTTTTTGGCAAGTGAAGTCATTAAAATTTGTTAAAATTAATTCTAAAAAAAAAAAATTAAGCATGACATTCAAAAGTGACTCCCGATAAGCGGATTTCGAAGCCCTAAAATAATAAATTCAACCAAATTAATGTAGTTTTCTGCCATATTTTGACTGCTTTATTGTCTCTGACGTGGCATTTTTTCCGTTTAATATTTCTAATTATTAAATCTGAAAAATGAGAGAAAGTTGTTCTCAGGAAGATATTTAAATAAGACTCAGTTACTTTGGTTTGTTACATTAATAATTACCTTCTTCTGGCACCATATGCCCGGCAGTAAGTATAAGTTTTGGATATAAATTTCTTTATATTTATCAGAAAATCATGATCTAGATCAGAGATCGCCAACCTTTTGAACTTTATAGATCACTAAATGTATAATTTTAAATTTGGCGGACCACTAATATGAATTTAGAAACAAAAAAGGCAAATACATTTATATAATAATAATTGGAAAACTTTTATTTTATTAATATGAAATGCACCCATTAAAAGGTAACAAAGTTATAGTGTAATTATTTAAATAAAACAAATTGTAAATTTGAAGTTTCAGAAAGATTGAAATAATGTCCCAACTTTTTGCTGACCATCAAATACTTTGTACAGACCACCGGTGGTCCGTTAACCACCGGTGGTCCGTTAACCACCGGTTGGCGATCACTGGTCTAGACCTCTATTCTTAAACTTGATTTGGTGTCGCATAATCCCTTACATTAATTCTGTTTTAAATCTAAGAAAGAAATTAAAAAGAAAGTGTTGAACGATAGGGTTATATTTTAAATTTTGAAGTGCAAACCGGACCCAAGCTCGTCTGCCATAACATTTTGGGTAAATCTCTTCTTTTCCATTTTTTTTTTTTTTTTTTTTCTCACAGGCTGTTTTAATGTTTATTAACCAAGCATAGTTTTGGCGTTGCTTGTTCTACTTTAGTAAAGACAGAAGAAGAAAAAAAAAGAAATTTCTTTGAAATTTTAGCTTAAATTCTGCGAAGAGACATCATTTCAGACAGAAAACCACCGTCACGTTGAAAGATATTTCGTTCCGCTTTCTCGACATTACGGCTTTTTTATTTACTCATTTAAGCTTTTCATATTTCATATTTCCTGCAATCTTGTGAAACGGAAACTAGACGGGTTGAAAGATCAGTGGTTAAACAGCGTTATGATGTGAGCAGTGATACCCGACATGAGACACGGGTGCGACAAATTATGTGGGAAAATCTGTTCCGGCTAAATCATTATGGCAGCTTGACTAAATTCGACGCTGATCAGTAATATAATTGGAGTCTTTGCTTTCTTTTTTTCTTTTTCTTTCTTCCGTTATATTTTCTTCTCTGACAGTCACTTTTACTTATCTCGCGTTCTTTTCCGTTTGAAAAGTTTTCCTACCTTCCTTCCTTCCTTCCTTCCATCCTTCCTTCCTTCCTTTCTTTCTTTCTTTCTTTCTTTCTTTACCCGTATTTCATAATTTTTTTCGTTTTCATTAAAGAGTTACTACATGCTTTCTTTCTTTCTTTCTTTCTTTCTTCCTTTCTTCCTTTCTTCATTTTCATAAATCATTCTTCCTTTTATTACTTTTGCATTTAAGTGTTCTTTCTTTCCTTCATTCTTTCTGTCTTTCCCCTATTTCATAATTTTTTTCTTCCTTTTATTTCTAAATCTGTGTTTTTGCTTTCGTTTTCATTCAAGAGCTACTTCAGACATTCTTTCTTTTCTTCTTTCCTTCCATTTCACAAGTCTTTCTTTTTTGTTATCGTTTTCATTAAAGAACTACTTTAAGCATTCTTTCTTTCTTTTTCGTCTTCATTGCAAAACTACTTCAGAGCTACTTCAGACATTCTTTCTTTCTTTCTTTCTTTCTTTCTTTCTTTCTTTCTTTCCCTTTCCTAAATCTGTGTTTTCTTTGTTTTCGTCTTCATTGAAAAACTACTTCAGGCTTTCTTTCTTTCTTTTCTATATTTCTTTTCTTCTTTCCTTCCATTTCACAAGTCTTTGTTTTTGTTATCGTTTTCATTAAAGAACTACTTTAGGAATTGTTTGTTTCTTTCTTTCTTTTCCACTATTTCATAAATTTTTCTTTTCATTTTTTTTTACTTTTTTCATGTCTTTCTTTCTTTCGTTCTCTTCCATTTCAGAAATCATTCTGTCCTTTTTATTTTCATTTACGAGGTCATTCATTCTTTTTTTTTTTCTTTCCTTGCCCTATTTCATAAATCTTTCTTCCTTTGAATTTCTTTTGCATTTAGGAGGTCTTTCTTTTTGGATAGAACTCGTGATTTTATCTACTGAAATTTTTAGAAACATTTCTTTAATCTTAATCTTTTTAACCTATTATATAATTCTTCAAAAAATTAAGTCATCCCTATATTTAAGATTTCTTATTCTGGTTTTTCAATGGATAATTTGTTTTTATTACAAATGACAAAAATGATGACATTGTTTTGCTTAAAAATGTTTTCTTTGCCCTCCGTTCATAGACAATTTTGACCGTTCTGCCTGAGCTCCTGGACTAAAATTCACAAATGTCATGTTTCACGGTAGATATAAAAATAGTTAAAAGTGTTTACCCACCATTCAAGTGTTGGCTAGGCATTAAGTCATTTTTCTCTACCACTGTGGGTAGGCATACGACTTTTTCCCCTATCACCGGTAAACCGGAAGTCAGGGCTCAAAGGATTAATGAAAGTTCAGGTAAACAGCAAATTTCAAAAGTCAAGTTTAATTTGAAATTTGAAAATAATGAAATCAGATAACAAATCCTTATACTAATTTTGAGAACTTCTTTCAAACAAAAGTAACTTCTGACGAGTTGCCATTCCTCTTCGTCTCTTTTCTGCTATTGAAGGAGTAGATAGGTTCGCCTATCGTTCGGTTCACACTCTTCCCTAATTTTTTGAACGTGAGTAGATGTTTATCCATTGTTTCCAGTTTAGGATTGGGTTTCCGGTTCTTCTTCAGATCTATTCTCTTAACGCCTGTTCTTTCCTAGGCTAATATAAGTTCACACAGTAACCATCTATATTGAGTGGCTCTTGGGCCTTGTATTGGGTGGACGTTAATAAAAAAAAAACATTTGTACAGACTCGTTAAGTAGATTACTCACTCTTCCCTCGACTTCTCTTTCATCCACTATATCCTGTGAATGTCAAATAATCTAGCCGCTCTTATCTCCTTATGCGTACCAGAATTTTCAGCTGTCACCTCTGTGAATGTAAGTATAAGTGTCCTCTTAACAACCAGAATTTTCAACTGTCACCTCTGTGAATGTAAGTATAAGTGTCCTCTTAACAACCAGAATTTTCAGCTGTCACCTCTGTGAATGTAAGTATAAGTGTCCTCTTAACAACCAGAATTTTCAGCTGTCACCTCTGTGAATGTAAGTATAAGTGTCCTCTTAACAACCAGAATTTTCAACTGTCCCTTTTCTGAATCTTACTTATTATAAAACGCAGATTGTGTGTGTGTGTATACGTTTATATATTGGATCGGATTTCCTACATTTTTCAACCGATTTCAACAAAACTTCACAGGACTACGTAAAATTACCTTGCGGTGGTTCTGACAGCGCCAAAAATTGGAAAAACACAATTGTTTTTGCATGAAATCAATTTGAAAACACGATTAAGAGGCATCGCCAGAATGAAAGGGGGACAACTCATATCGAGTTATACTTATTATAAAACCCATGTTGTTTGTGTGTGTGTTCGTTTATATATGGGATGGGATTTCCTGCATTTTTCAACCGATTTCAACAAAACTTCACTTTTTTTTGGAGCAGGTAGTATTTCTTATTGTCTTGCACACTCTTCTTTATTTTTACATTCAGAATGCTTTAAGAATTCCATTTACAAGACAATTGTTTATAATAAAATTCTATTCAATCGGTAGACTCATAACGATTGAAAACAATGTTTTTGTTTGAGTTTGGGTTTGACCAATTCGTAAAAAAAAAGAAAAAAAAAAAAAAAAAAAACTAAATAAGACATGCGTGTCCGTCAACCTTAAATAATAATCTTTGTCAATTTTTTTTCAGTCTTTATGATGGTCGATATTTGATCTATCTCTTACTGTTACATCCCCGGGCAACGCCGGGCTCTACTGCTAGTGTAAGTATAAGTGTCCTCTTAACTCCTGCTTTCTTTAAAACTTCCTCTTCGATCATGTTTTCTCTCGGTGGTTAATGGTAATGGCAATATCAGCCGTTTCCTCCTAAGGATACAATCGACCTTCATTGACTAAGCAGTTGTTTAACGTTAAATAGTTGATTATGTTCCCACCTGTCTTCTTGAGCCGGATGTTCAGAAGGTTGTTTTAAGTTTGAAGGTTAAGGCAACCAAGGCGACTTGGTTGTCACATCGAGTTACTCAATCGGAATCTGTCTAAGCGGACTGGGTTACATGATCTGATGTTCCGAGACGCATGTGCAATGCAATTGGCCCTGATCTGGCATCTCGTTTACAGTCGCTCTCTCACAGACGTGCCGTCGCTTCTCTCTATCTTTTCTACAGATACTTTCACGCTAACTGCTCCAGCGAACTACTTTCGCAAGTTCCCAAATTGTATGAATTTAAACGTGCTACTAGGTCGGCCTTTCAGTCCCACCCTTTCACTGTCGAAAGAGTTAAATGTAGCCGTCTCTTGTACTCCAATATCTCCATGCCTCGCACTTCCCGTCTGTGGAACTCCCTTCCTCTTACTTGCTTTCCTGATAGATATAATCTCCAAATATTCAAATGCAATGTCAATCGACATCTCCGGCTACCTTGATCCATCCCCCGTTCTTCTCTTCATCCTTTGCTCTATCACGCCTCTTTACTCTTGCTTCCACTCTCTGTAACCCCTTGCGTGATAATGGCACTCCCGCCTTGCTTGGGGTGAAATGCTTAAAAAATACTTTCATGGTAATTGTTCTGATGAGCTTTCTTCAAACACGCCTCTTTATTCTTGCTCCCACTCTCTGTAACCCCTTGCGTGCTCGTGGTACTCCCGCCTTGCTTCGGGTGAAAAGATTAAAATAATTTAATTGTGCACTCCTTGCAAGGTTATGTCGTAATTATGTCAAATCCCATCACCATATTACGCAAATTTACCTGTGATACAAGTACCTGATACATCAGTCTTGTTGTTCGTAATGATTAGATTGGGCTTCGTCTATTTGTGCACGGGTCTTACTTTGTTGGCGTGCTGCTTTCTCGCAGTAATAATGGCAGTATCAACCTTTGTTATATTAGAGCCGGCTTTTTGCGCACTTCAACGTGGTGTAACAGTTAACAATCTTTGTGTTTCATGCTCCATACTTTCGGCCTTGGGTCACATCTAAGCTACGCTTTGTAAATCGCTCTAAGAACCGACCTTTTAGTCGGCTTTCTAAACCGCATCGTACATTGTGAATAAGGTGATATTTTATCTGTTTTCCTGTCAGACAAACAACAACAACAACAGTGAAGTAGTAATTTTGAGCTCAACAGAAAAGAGCAGTTGATATTAAGAATTCAAAATCCTGACGCCTCCGTATAAACTTTTCTTACTAACGTCTTTCTTTTTTTAACTTTGATATATTCTCGTTCTGTCTTCACTTTACCTGAGAGACATGCTCGAGAACACACCTGACAACACCTGATAAATCATAACGTTTCGGCAAACAGGCAGGTTTCGTAGACAGGCAGGAAACATGGCATTCATACCAACATCCCGTGGAGGGGGGCAACATTACGTCTATTATTCACCGATTCCAACATTCTTTATTTTATGGGCCGTGTCTCTTCAGGGTGTGCGCGATCATGACTCTCCACGCTTTCTTCTGATGCTTTACTCTTCTTCTTTGTCTCTGTCATCCATTGGCATAAACTCATTAAGTAGGTTAATCACTGCTTCCCGATATTTTCTGGTCTTCGGTTTCTTTTGTTTTGTTTTACGGCATATCAACACCTCAATGGGTTATTTAATGGAGACAGGATTTTGATTGCTGGTAATATTTTTTTTCCAAAAACGTATTGATGGTAATATTTTTTGTTCAAAAATGTATTGGTGGCAATATATTTTTTCAAATAATGTATTGCTTGGAATAATATTTTCAAAAATATATTGCTGATAATAATATTTTCAAAAATGTATTGCTGGTAATAATATTTTCCAAAATGTATTGCTGGTATTAAAATCTTTTTTCATACTTTAATAGTGTTTTGATCCCCTCTTTTGTGTGGAGAGGTAACTATATGCCCTTAGTTGGCACACGGACAGATGTTACCACTCCGTGGCAGGGTGGACCTGGGAATAGCAGCAATTAAGGTGTGGTTCTTCAAAAAAACCCTAATCAAAGGCCTTTTCAGCACACCCTCTTAGTTCGCCCATCTCTTTTTGATAGCAATATTGAACTATTTACACTATTTATATTATTCGGGCTGTTGTCCACATCTTTCTTGTCATATTTACGACGTTTCGGCCGTAGTAAGCTCCGGCCTTCAGGTGACTACAAATTCGAAGTGAACCCATTATTTCGCCCACTGGGGTATATTGTTCCAGTTCCATGTGCCATGTGCCTCAGTTATCTCCCTTGAACTTAACTCTCCAAATTTTTGTTCACCACTGCAGTAGTCAGGTACTGAATTCACGATTCTTTGGGTCAAGTCACTGGATTAGACCAACGCTTTTATCCACTGAGTCATGTGTCCTTGAACAATCTACCCTGGTGGGCGAAATAAATGGTTCAGTTCGAAATTCCAATCAATTGAAGAAGGCCGGAGCGTACAACGGCCGAAACGTTATGAATATGGCAACGAAGATGAGAACAACAGTACGAACAATGTAAATAGTGTAAATAGTTACATCATCTCAGAAATATAGACAGATCCTGAAGAAGGCCGGAGCTTACAACGGCCGAAATGTAACGCATACGAAAACGTAGAGGAGGACAACAGTCCGAAAAATCTAAATAGTGTAAGTAAGTACAATACCTCTACTCAGAAATATAAACACATCCTGACGAGGGCCGGAGATTACAACGGCCGAAACGTCATGCATACGGCAACGTAGAGGAGGGCAACAGTCCGAACAATGTAATTACCTCTACTCAGAAATATAAACAGATCCTGGGGAGGGCCGGAGATTACAACGGCCGAAACGTCATGCATACGGCAACGTAGAGGAGGGCAACAGTCCGAACAATGTAATTACCTCTACTCAGAAATATAAACAGATCCTGAGGAGGGCCGGAGATTACAACGGCCGAAACGTCATGCATACGACAACGTAGAGGAGGACAACAGTCCGAACAATGTAATTACCTCTACTCAGAAATATAAACAGATCCTGGGGAGGGCCGGAGATTACAACGGCCGAAACGTCATGCATACGACAACGTAGAGGAGGGCAACAGTCCGAACAATGTAATTACCTCTACTCAGAAATATAAACAAATCCTGGGGAGGGCCGGAGATTACAACGGCCGAAACGTCATGCATACGACAACGTAGTGGAGGGCAACAGTCCGAACAATGTAATTACCTCTACTCAGAAATATAAACAGATCCTGGGGAGGGCCGGAGAGTTGATATTGCGTTTTTTTGCGCGTTTCTTTATGTGCAGTTCAATATTTCCTGCTTCCCATTTTCCCCTCTATCTCATCTTTTTAAAAGTGCCAGTCCCTACGTCACTTTTCTCCTTCCCCTCCTTCTCTCCCACCACCTCTCTTGCTTTAACCTCCCCCTGTCAATGTCATATATCCACCTGATGTATTTTCTCCATTTACTAAGAGATTTCAACCTGAAGAGATGAATATTTCGGTATACACGAAATAAATTATTATTATTATTATTATTTATATTATTATTATTATTATCTGTAATCTACATTGAGCTCTCCCTCGATTAATTTCCTTATAAAATCAAAAAACACATGCCTGATGATGAATAGAGGACTATTCGTAAGTACTAGCATTTTAACATCAAATAAACTGAAAACTACAGACAACAAGTTTATCGACGAGGATCAACTCGCACTATGGATGAACAGTATTTTAATGCATATATTATGTTTTCTAGCGATGGATGTCGCCAATAATTGCATTAATACTTCTGATTGATTCTATGTGTGATTATTTCTTTGTATATATATATATATATATATATATATATATATATATGTGTGTGTGTGTGTGTGTGTGTATCTGTGCGTTTGTGTGCATGAATGTATAGCTGTGTGTGTAAAATGCTAATCATAAATATATCAGTGAAGACAATATAAATAAAAGAAAAGACAAGACAAAAACGTTTATGCCACCGCGTTTCGATCCTAGTGGAATTGCAGATATATTAGATAGTAACCTGTATTTATGCGCATAAGCAAGGCGGAGAAAAATAAAATGACTTCAATTTTCCAAATTTTGAATCAGAGAACGCTCTAAAATATTCTAAATCTTACTGTGTAACGAAATGTATAATATGGAAGCGGCTAAGTGACATCATTTCCCGGCCTATTAAAACGTAAGTTTAGTAAACGCTACTGTTGTTGTCATTGAGTATTTTTCAAAGTAAATGCTATGACAGTGGATTTTTACTCTGTCTGTTCTTTCTCTGATAATATATATATATATATATATATATGCGTGTAATTTTCTATATATCAGAACAATGTTGGGTAAATGTACGACAAAATTTAAATAAAGACATCTCTATATATAAAGATGAATTCTCTATCTGTCTGTTTGTTATCAAATGCCTCCTACGGTTTTGGAGATAGACATCCATAATCATATATTCTGAAACTACATTACCCAGGGTACTTGGATAAGTATATTTTATTTTGATCAGTGGGTAGTACCTTAAAATATATATCTGTTACGTCAATTCAACTGCCATATCAATGCTGAAATCTGCTCATCATTTCAACGAACTCTTCCTATAGTTCTGCGGAATCAGAATCAACGTTGAGTTTAAGCAAGTGAATGAACCAATTGGAGTAAAGTGCCATGCAGATTTAAATTTTTCTCACTTGTGACGAATGCAGCTATCGATTTTGCATGCTAGCATGCTAGTTAATATTCATGTTAGTCAGCTGTTGGTTCTCACGTAGGCCAATAGAAACTCCCTGCCTATTCGTGGCAGCCAGCTATAGGCTCTCACTCTGGCCAGTAGAAAATGGCCACAAACTACATGAAAACTGCCGTAGAAGCATGAAAAAAATCGATTATTCCCACTATCGATGGGAGTTGGGAAATGCGAAGTCGGTCTTGGCCTTCCCGCTAACTTGGAGTATGTGCATGTAAATTTTGGTGCAAATCCGTCGAAAATTGCGGCCAGGCATTCGTTACACACACACACACACACACACACACACACACACATCCTGCCTTATATATATATATATATATATATATATATATATATATATATATATATATATATATACACACATAGTTCTCATGTTTTTTGTTTTTTTTTTCTTCCCTTTCCCTTTTCCATTTAATGATTTTTTTATTTTCTTTCCTTTTTTTATAAAAATCTTTTTTACCTAGTACAGAAATTTTTCAAAAAAAAAAAGAAAATGAAGTGATGTTTCATAAATTCAAATTTGAAATAAAATCGTTTATTACCATCATTGTTAACTACCTGAGGAGACGTTGTTTATTAAACGTCGAAACAAAATCTACATTTTTGTAGTAGTAACTTACATGTTCTAATGTAACACTGTATAATAAATATTTATTCCTCGACTCTTCTATTGAGCCCTGTTTTACATTAATGTTTTGAACGTTAGAATTTTATTATTCGTTCTTTTACACACACACACGCACGCACACACACATATATAATGATGCATGTTTCGTTAAATAATACAGACAAGTTTTGTCTATTTATTTTATGTAAATTCTTTTCATGTCGTCTAATAAGCTTAATAACATTATCATTAAGAGATGAAAGAAAATGACCATAAATTTTTTAATCCTATCAAAGCTTTCGGCTTACATATGCCATTATCAAAGATAACAATTACATTACAATATATAAAACAATACACGGGCATAACAATAATGATAGTCTGTTTTTGTTAGCATGAAATATTTCCAAGCAACGACAAACTCGTGCATACTAGACGCTGAAAAAATGCTGCCTAAATACACACACACACAATATATATATATATATATATATATATATATATATATATTAGAGTAACCTCGTTTCGCAAACTAATACGTAATATATGTGAGTACAATCCACCACAAAGAAACTACAATTTTAATTTACCAGACTAAACCAGTATTATTAAACTGCTACACAATTGCACAAGCACTTTACTTGGGAAAAAAAAAACAACTTTTTTATATACGTTTTTATATGACTAACAAGTAACTGTGATTAAGCTTGAATTATATTTCTTGTCTTCGTACATGAAAATAAATTTTGGGAAATAGAGTTTGTAAGTTATTGCTACTAGATATGATGCAGTGGTCCTGCTATGTTAGAAATTCTTGACCAAATCCAGATGATAATCAGCAATATTACGGGTCATATGCTGGCATCTCGGCTTGTGTCTTTTCTATAAACACTTTCATGGTAGTTGTTCAGATGACCTCTTCGTTATAGTTTTGTTTTCATATTGTAAATACTCATTGGGGCCAGTTTTTAAATTGTTGTTTTATTCTCCTACCCCCCCCATGAATTGTACATATGGGGACTAGTTAGGATTTTCATAGAGACAATGAGGTATTATGGTGAATGTAGTAAGAAAGGTAAGTAAGAATGCGTTGTTTTGGTGTTAGAAATATTATGGTATGTTTGGGTCAGTATTTGTGGCTAGCTAAGTTTAAAGTTAAGACAGATGAAGACCGTTCATTTCCCCTATTCCCCATTATGGCCATATGCCACATTTGGTAAATAATTACAAATAAATATCGCTCTTCGCTATAGTATCTAGACTTTATGAATTTAATCGTAGTACTAATTTAGCAATATGGTATCATCACCTTACAGTTGAATTGGTTAGATGTAACCGAAAGTTCTTTGCAAACATTTTCTTTTCTCGCACTTCTCACTTGTGGAACTCGATTCAGGCTCCATGCTTTCCGAATAATTTTGATCTTCATAAGTGTGAATGCAATTTCAATTGTTATTTATTCTCTTCCTGATTAATTTTCTATTATTCTCGATCCTTCATAATATTTCTATTTTCTATCTTTTTCACACTATGTAGCCTCTTGGGTCTTAGAGGCTTTACTCTCTTGCAGGGGCTGAAATGATTAGAAAAAAACAAAAAACAAAACTGTGCAAATGATTTTCGAATCTGTTTTTTTTCGGCTAATCTATTAACCAACAGCAAGGATATCATTTTGTTTATATGTCTTCTTATTAATATAATAATATATCCTTTTTCTTAATATGTAGATTTATATACTTACAATGTGCTAAAAAGTATTTATATATACATATATTATAGTGCATGCGCACTGCCGATGAGTCCCAAATATAGGATGAAACGGCTGTCGAGTGCTTTCTGCATTCTGTTGAGGTTTCTTCTAAACTCGATGAATTACTTAATTATGATTATTTCAAATCATCCTAATTATATATATATATATATATATATATATTTCACAACATCGCCCACGTGACGACGACGTGATCCTATTTTAAACGGAACGCTGATCTTATATAAAAGTTTCAGTTATCTGTTTGGATTAGTTGTGCTCTTATGTCCATCGTCTTTTTCATGTTGAATTTTATATGTTCTAATGTTAATTATGTTTTATAAATAAGTCCTGATGATGGTCTAAAATAGACTGAAACGTCCGACGTTGGCTTTATATTAACATTAATACAGCATAATTACATATTAAGATTTTTTTTTGTTTTTCTGTATATTTTTCTTCATATATATATATATATATATATATATATATATATATATATATAAAATTTCTCAGAGTTAACCTGTAGACAATATTTATAAATAAAAATGACAATATTCTCCACTAGTGACAATAACTGACGTTATTTTCAGTTAATAATATGAAAATAGCGTTTCCTAAATTCCTGCAGTTGCTAAGAACATTCTGTTTTTTGGTTATTATTAGCTACGTTCTTTAATTAAATTCATTTCGTTTTTTGCTTTGGGAAAGTCCACATTGGACGAAACGCGTCAGCAATAACTAAAGTTTTCCTATTGTGATATATATATATATATATATATATATATATATATATATATATATATATATATATATATGTCAACGGACCAAAGTATTTTCCCCAAAAGAGGGAGCTTGGCCAATTCCTCAAATTTTAGGAACTCTCATCGCTCCCCACTATATATATATATATATATATATATATATACTTCCCTTCTTCTTAAAATCTAAGTAAATGACCAAACATCATTATATATATATATATATATATATATATATATATATATATATATATATATATTTGCTACAAGGATACACGTGTATATATCAGCGTGAGTGTTCTTGCGCGTGAGTCCGTAGATGTAAAATCATTTGAATGTTTACCAGTCAATGACTTTACAATCCCGTGGGCGCTGTCCATCATTCCGGAGAGAGGAAATCCGATAATGGGCGATATATTACGTTCGGATTTGAAGGCTGGCACTTATAAACGTGCTTGATGGGAAAGGGGCGGGGAAAGGAGAACAGTAATCTTCACTCTGCCTTCACTGATCGCGTCATATATGAATGACTACGGATATAGTTTTTTGGGGGCTCTTGGCAAGGTTGACAATGAGAGTAACAGATATTTGCTGCTACTTTCTGAGCAGTTAAGGTAATTATTCTGTTCTCTATCAATCATCTTAGCAAGCCAATAAAAGATCATATTTTTTTTTTGCTGTCAGTCGAAAAGTACAGATCGAAGTGAAATTTGAATTGATCCCTTACGGATTAGTTTTTATGAGTACGGGTCCTCTCGTGGATGTGCGTGTGATGTAGTGGATATAGGTACAGAATGAGTATTCCAGCCAAGTGCATTATATTTACTTAAGCGAAAATAAACTTTGGAAATGTATAAATCTACATCTCCCCCCTTAGTTATGGATTAAATAATATGACTTGTATTTATAAAACGTATTGCTATTCTAAAAAAAGGAAATGTAATATTCACTCTGCTCCCCTAAAAAAAAAAACAGCAAAAAAATAAAAAAATACAAAGAATTATTCTTAATCCAAGATGTGTATCGATCTTAAATAAGCAACAATTGGTTGATAAGCTGTAAAAAACAAATCACTCACTTACAGAAGTGAAGGTTCCTAGCCCAGAAACATACAAAACAATATTAAGCGGTAAAAAATTCAGAATGGAGTAGGTGAGAAAGAGGAGGAAGTATGCTGTGATAGAAGGTAGTAGGTTAGATAACTTGAGGAAAATGAACATAAAGCCCAGTAAAAAGATATATATATATATATATATATATATATATATATATATATATATATATATATATCAGAATATAATGAGGCCGAAAATAAGATAAATTCTAACGTTCACAGCATTAATTCAAAAGAGGGCTCAATACCATTTTCGGTTCTCACCAGTCGAGATGCATGGGCATCGAAACAAGAATGCATCTTTGTAGTGAGTAAGGTTTTTAGTCCGTATGCAAAATTATATATATATATATATATATATATATATATATATATATATATATATATATATATATATATATATTATAATATTGCATAGATAGATAGATAGATAGATATGAACAGACTGAGACAAATAGATACATAGACATGAGCAGAATGAGATAGATAGATAGATAGATAGATATAGATAGATAGATAGATAGAAACAGAATGAGAGAGATAGATATTCACAGAATAAGACTGAGATAGATAGATAGATAGATAGATAGGTAGATATGAACAGAGACAGATAGATAGATAGATAGATAGATAGATAGATAGATAGATAGATAGATAGATAGATAGATGATGAGATAGATATAAACAGAATGAGAGAGATTGATATTAACAGAACAAGATTGATCTGTAGATAGATAGATAGATAGATAGATATGAACAGACTGACAGATAGATATAAACAGAATTAGATAGATAGGAACAGAAGGAGATAGGTATATAGTTAATTAGTTAGATGGATACGCTTTCTACTCTTTATCCATCTTTTCCATGTTATTTAAAGCTACGAAAATATTTATAGATTATAAGATTTTTTTTCTTGGGGATAATAATGGTTTTAGCGATACAAGTCTTACTAATATAACAGTTACTATAACTGAGGGGAAAAGTGGTAGATTCATACATATTTCAAGGGTATTTACACGTAAGAGAATATAAGGAATCCAACAGGAAATGGAACTCGGCTCTCCGATTAACAATTCCATCACACCGCCTGTATCTCCGAGCTTATTCACAAGTGGTCACCCATCTAGGTACTGACTCGGGTCGACGTAGATAGATAAATACGAAGAGACTGCAATAGATATGAACAGACTGGTATAGATAGATAGATAGATAGATAGATAGATAGATAGATAGATAGATAGATAGAAAATTAGATAGATAAATATGAACAGACTGAAATGGACATGAACAAATTGAGATAGATAGATAGATAGATAGATAGATAGATAGATAGATAGATAGATAGATAGATAGATATGAACAGACTGAAAGGAATATGAACAAAATGAGATAGATAGATATGAATAGAATGAGATAGATATGTTTAGATGTACTTCTGCTCATGTCGGGTCGATTTAGATAGATAAATATGAATATACTGCAATAGATACGAAGAGACAGACATACATACAGACAGACATACATACAGACAGACAAATAGATAGATAGTTAGATAGATAGATATGAACAAACATAGATAGATAAATAGATAGATATGAACAAATTTAGAAAGATAGATATGAATAAAATGAGATAGATATGAACAAAATGAGATAGATAGATAGATAGACTTGTAGCTAGCTAGCTAGATAGATAGATAGACTTGTGGCTAGATAGATAGATAGATTTATGGCTAGATAGATATGAACAAACTGAAATGGATATGACTAAAAAGAGATAGATAGATTGATATGAATAGAATGAGATAGGTAGGTTTAGATGTACCTCTGCTCATGTATATGTAATAATCATTATGTTTCACGTATTACTCGCCTCCACTTCCTACCCGTTGTTTAAACGGATATTGTATAACAGAAAATGTTTTTATCTTAATGACAATAAGAACGAGTCTTCCAAAATAACAAGATTTTTTCTCCCTTATTTTTCACCCTACAACTTTCGATGAAAAATCCAGCATTTTGCGCAGCAGCTCAATCGTAAAGGAAACATTAAAATGTTCAAGCTGTCGTCTCAGGAGTTTAGTTTCTTTACCCGACGCTCTGTTCCCGGGAGAGCAAGGAGACTTAATTGTCTCTACATTTACACGGTAGTTTAAAGCAGAAGTTACGAGCAAGACTCATAGATTGTCACGGGAGAAAACGGAAAATAACAGTTGGTGAGATAGAACGAATTTCCTCGGAAAACAACGGAACTCAATTAAAACTAAACGTTGACGAGTCACTTCATTATGCAGCGATCTTGTTTGTTCAGATAACCGTTATTCAAACAAAGAGACGCACACACTTACATATATATATATATATATATAAATATATATATGTATATATATATATATATATATAATATGAAATGGACAACGTCCGACAATTATTTTAAGACATTTTTTATGTTTATACGTTCTTTTTATAGATACAAATATTTATGTAAATGCTCTGTTTGTTTCCATTTGGATACGCATCGAGCAGATATGAATGTATGAGAGAAAACCATGGAAAATCGACCCTGGTAACTAAAAAGCTCCTCTGTGGATCAATCGTAAAAGCACGTCAGGCTATATGACGGTTCCGTGTAGGATACAGTTTCGATTCCTGTCGGAGGACGCATATTTTCTATGAATATTTCTCGGACATTTAGGCCGGTAAATGTTGTTAATACTGTTTATTATAAATAGAGCATTTACTTAAATATTTGTATCTATAAAAAGAACGTTTAAACATAAAAAATGTCTATATATATATATATACACTTTAATTAAACAGTCTGATGTCACCCTTGGTAATTTTTTTGTAAATTGGACCAAAATGTAATTTTTATGTTAAATTAAAAAAAAATATTATACCTGGTTACAAAAAAAGTGAGTCATGATTTTTATTAGAAATTCTATTATGACAAAAAGAAAAACAAATAGCATTTTATGATTAAAATTTGCTCTCCTCAAAATGTCCTCCTTTTGCCTTGATTACTGCAGCACAAAGTTTTGGCATTCCTTACGAATTTTCTCAATGTATATATATATGCATTATTTTAAAGTTGTTCAATTTGTATGCACCAAGTGTTGTGTGACAAACATCGAAACGGTAATCCAATTCTTGACACACTGGAATTAATTGATCTGTGGCTATTGACTTCACAGCTTCAACAATTTGATTTCTCAAATCTTCCACAGTAGCAGGCACAGCTGGAACAAACACTCATTCCTTTATATAGCCCCACAGACCAAATTCGCATGAGGTCGAGATACACTCTGGAAATTGCAGTAGACACATCGACATTCCTTGTGGTGTGACCATGTTAAGAATTGACACAAATTATAACAATTTGAATTCATACAAAATCTGAAAAAAAAACGGTAAAAAGAAGGATTTTTAAAAAAAATTGAATCCATTTTAATAACATTGAACCTTTTCCGATCTCGTATCTTTTTCCTATCTTCGTATCTCGTATCTGTCTATTCGTATTTGTTTATATGCTCTGTTTGAATAACTGCGTATATATATATATATATATATATATATATATATATATATATATATATATATATGTATAAGTAGACATTGAAGTCAACCCCCATTAGTGTCAGTCTGTTTCATGCTTATATATATATATATATATATATATATATATATATATATATATATATATAGAAAACACATTTTCATTCACGCATGTTTGGCTAAATAATCTATACAAATGTCTATTTATTTTACAGCCACTAAGAAATTAATTCGTGGACTTGAAAAGATTAAAAAATTAAATAGACATAATACGTCTAAATTATTCAACTAAACCTGCTTATATATATATATATATATATATATATATATATATATATATATATATATATATATATATATATTTCAAGTCAACCACCATCGGTGACAGTCTGTTTCATGCTTATACGCAATCATCAAAAGAAATAACGGTTCAAAGCTTTATCTGACAAGGGGGCAAATTTGCTGTTACACTTTGGTATATATATATATATATATGGTATATATATATATATATATATATATATATATATATATATATATATATATATATATATGTGTGTGTGTGTGTGTGTGTGTATTTGGGTATAATCTGTGTATTATACTTACTTCACTGAAAGCGGCTGGTAAAACACTGCGATTAAGCTTTTTCTTTTCTTGTATTGATATGTCATTACTTTTCTGGACATAGGGTGTGTAAAAACAAACCAAATCATATGTGGATTCAAGCGCTTTCGGCTAATCTATTAACCATTATCAAGGATGTCTTTTTTTTAAACTAAATATGTTTTTCTTTTAAAAATGGGCATGTTTTAATTTCCGTACGTTGTGGTCATGTTTATCATTGATATTATTGAATGTTTGTTTCATCGTTTTTATTGTTAATGCATCTATTATTTTTAACCTTTCTTCTCTATGTAGATGAATCTATTATGGCCATATTTTCTACGAGTTTATTGCGGATAGATGGTGGTAGGTTCTTGTGTGTATTTACATAAGTCTTAATGGAGCTATGGTCTGAGAGTTGCAAGGTTAGTCTTTCTGATAGGCATGTAGTTGTATGTCCGATGTAATTCTTAGTCACGAATTTGGTTTCGTTAGGAACGCAGTTCCGTCAGGGACAGGAAAATGTATAAATACTGTTGGTCCTATGTAGTTGGGATCTTCCTCGTGAGATTTTTTAGTGTGGGCGATTAGAAGAAACCATCGTAAAAGAAACCGTTGTTCAATCTGTCGTACTTTAACCACTCGACTACGAAGTCTTACACAGTCAAGCAAGCTTATGTACTGAAAAGCTCTTCGTAGCTGATTATTCAAAGTACGTCAGATTAAGCAACAGCTTCTTTTTTCTTCTTCGCTCTCTCCTATATATATATATATATATATATATATATATATATATATATATATATATATATATAGGCATCCACATACAAGAGTGTTTCGCTGTAGCACAGCTCATCAGTGTGGCTAGACATCCGATTGCTTCAAGTCGTGATCGAAACCCGGCCGATTTAGCATCCTACTAATGGATAATCGGCGCACAGCAGAAAAAGGGAAATTCTAACTTATTATATACGGATGTATACACACGCCAGCAGTTATAGGGCTCAATTCATTCGTGAAGAGCGGTGTGTTAATAGAAGCGGCGGCTACTTCATTGAAATGACCCATTTTTCTATAGCGCTCGATCGAATATATATAATATATATGTAATACTTACATACATACATACATACATATATATACATATATATATATATATATATATAGATAGATAGATATAGATATAGATATAATATATATAATATATATGTAATATAATATATATATAATATATATGTATATATATAATATATATATGTACATATATAATATATATGTCCTCATTTACCTCTGGCACCACACACACACACACACACACACACACACATATATATATATATATATATAAAGAAAGAACAGTAAAATATCTTTAATTAATGACTTTTATTTAATTAAAAAAATCAGTTCGGAGCTTTCAGCTTCCATTTTTGAAACATGGTTAGAATTGTGTAGCGAAAAAAAAACATATTTTAAATCAATTAATTTATTAATAAATTCTGACATATATTCATTATTTACTTATATTTTCCTTTTTAATTTAATCATCAAGTTGGATTCGTTTTATTCACTTTCTCGCTCAAACTCTTGGGAAAAGGTATGACTCGATGAATATATATATATATATATATATATATATATATATATATATATATATATATATATATATAATATCTGGTTTCCTAGCACACCCATCCTCTAGGGGGTTAAAAATACCTGGATGTGTGTTTAACGAAGGTTTGTCATTTATATATATATATATATATATACATACATATATATATATATATATATATATATATATATATATATATATATATATATATATATATTAAATAAAAACAGACCACTTTAAGGCTCTATGGATTTTATCCTCCTTAGGTTTACCCATACGGATTACCTAGTTTTCATAAACTAAATATATATATATATATATATATATATATATATATATATATACAGGTCAGTGTGTATGTAAGCACCTGGTATTCTCAAGCGCTTACCTATCTAGGTACTGACCAGGGCCGACGCTGCTTAACTCTGCTGATCGTACCAACATAATTTTTTGTAAAGTCGTCGCTGCCGAACAGCCTTTACAAAGTAATGTTCTTTACGGCCTTAAACTAGATATTGTCTCATTGCCCGAAATACCAACAAATGTACACAGGACAATAAGTACCTAGTTATTTATGTATGTAAGTGTTGTGTTGTGTACAGTGTGTAAATTAACGCGTTAGTGTTTGCGACTACACATGTGAAAATATTCGTACGCGAATTCTAGTTTGTACGTAATAGCTGTCATTTTTTTCGAACTCAGTATGTCTGAAGAAATCTATTCACGTCAATTTTTGAATTGTGGTCGGTAGATCGTCTTTTCAAAAGTTTTACGAAGATGAAAATTTTGCCTACACAAAAGAAACGCTCACACACACACACACATACTCACACATGTACACGCAAAAGCACACTTTCAGAAACCACACAAAAACAGACACACACACACACCCTCACAATAAAAAGAATTAA